TCCTGCTCAGGCACTCTTTCTGCCTCTCTCTCAAAATAAATAAACATTTAAAACAACCAAAAAAGCCCAAAATGAACTGAGTATAAACAAAGCTGCATAGGTGGGTGGAGATTGCTTCCAGACCTCGGCCTCATGAAGTTTTAGGTTCATTTAATGAAACTGCATCAGGTACCAGGTACCAGGCACACAGTCGAACACGTGCAAGAGGTACAGACTCGGAGAGGTTCAGAAACTGAGAAGTCCCAGAGCATGCGCGATGGGAGACCCTCCCAGAACGCCCCCAGGACGCGCTGTGTCTGTGTCTGCTCTGGTGCCCCCACTGGCAGAGCTCCCGGTGTGTCTTAAAAATGGCTCCTTCTGGGTTTGGGCCACTTTAGAGGAGTGTACTCATTCCCTCGTTAGGCCAGACCCAGAGTCTGAGTTCTGTCCTCTGAAGCCACACGGGATAAGCCTGTCCCCTCTCCCAGGCGACTGCCCTCCAGATACTTGAGCCCCCGCTGCAAATCTCTCCTCCGGCCTCAGCAGCCCCCACTCCCCTCTCGCAGGTGCTATTGGGGAAGAGGCCTGACGGCCGGCAGAAGCCAGAGGAGAGGCAAGGACCCCGCTTAGTCTTAAGTGGATTAAGACGTGTGCCTGTCTAGGGGTACTGCAGACAGGAGGTGAATGCCAGGAGAAAGGGGTACAGATCTTGAACTTTTCCAGAAGCCTCAGACTCTCAGGTCACGCTTACGGAACCTGGTAGGATAATTTGTTTTTTATGTAAGATGGTCCTGGTTCAAAATACAGGAAAGAGAGCGGTGAATGTGGCCCCTGCAGCTTCCCCAGCCCCCTTTACCTCGGCACTTTTCAGACACTGCCTCTTCTTCCCTGTGCTGCCTGGGACAGGGTTGCTGCTCAGAACAGCTGTCAAACAGGACTGGCCCCAGGAAGGGGTCCTCTGGCCTTTTGGGGATTGACCTTGACCGCGGTCGATGACAGCCTTAGTGGAAGTTGTAAGGGAAGCACGAATCCCTCATCCAGCCTGCAGAGCCCTCCCCGACGCAGGGGTGGCGGCCTGCCCCCAGGCCGGTGGCATGCTGCTCGACCCCGGGGGTGAGGCCCCAGCACCTGCTGACACTCACAGCTTCCCCCCGGCACCTGCCCTCCCTCCACCCTCCTGCCGCGGCCATGGCTCCGCTGCTGTCTGGTTCCCGCGGGGACGCGGACAGGCTCTCAGGGCCTGGAGAGCTCTCACACGGGCCCGCTTTCATCTGCCTGCTGCACCCTCCCTCTGTCCCCAGAGACCTCGAGTGTGCCCTGCCCTTTCCACACAGAGGGGCAGACACGGTGCCCAGGGCCCAGCACGCGTCGGCCACACACACGAGCCTGCCTCTGACGTGTTTCTTAGGATTCAGTGTCCACGGGGGCGCCTTTAACATTATTACAAATTGTAGGATGCATTAAACCTTAACCTTCTTGTGTGTGTGTTTCACTGCCCGCCTCTCCTTCCTCCTCGGCACCTCCCGCTCAGGAGGGTCTGTGTTCCCGCCTGAGCCTGGTCTCTTAACCCCGTTTTCAGTTCCGTGATAAAGGATGTCCAGTGACCTCATCAGCTGCACCCATCCCGGGCCCCTCAAAGCAGCGCTAGTCGTATTACACGGAGGAGCTGAAGTCCGGCAGGCAGCCCCACAAAGCCTGAGCCGTGGAGAATGGGGTGGGAGCCGGGGGACAGGGACCCTGACCGCGAGGCAAGCACCGTGCGCCGGAACCTGAGGCTCCAGGAGGGCACCTTACCTGGACGCGGTCTTTAACGTGGCTCTGTGTTGCCTTTCCAGGGTCCCGAGAGCAGCGCCCCTCCTCCATGAAGCTGCCGTGAAAGCTCCCGGGTGAGAGGGCCCGCGGCCCGTCCGCGAACAGAATGACCAAAACCCGGCTCTTCCGCCTGTGGCTGGTCTTGGGGTCCGTGTTCATGGTCCTCCTGATCATTGTGTACTGGGACAACGTGGGCACGGCCCACTTCTACCTGCACACTTCCTTCCCCAGGCCGCGCCCCACCCCCGCGCAGGGGGCAGAGAAGGAGTTCACGGCCGACGTGGACGCGTTTTTGCAGAAGCTGCTTAGCGGCGGCCTGAAGCAGAGCGCCCCCTCCGGTCGAAGGACGGAGCAGCCCTCGGTGCAGGCCTCGGGCAGGCCCGTGCTGAGCAACGCGGAGGAGAGCGTGCGGGGCTACGACTGGTCCGCCCGCGACGCCCAGCAGGGCCCGGACCCCGGCGGGCGGCAGGCCGAGCGGAGGAGCGTGCTCCGGGGGCTCTGCGCCAACGCCAGCTTCGTGTTCCCCACCAAGGAGCGCTCGTTCGACGACATCCCCAACTACGAGCTGAACCACCTGATCGTGGACGACCGCCACGGCGTCATCTACTGCTACGTGCCCAAGGTGGCCTGCACCAACTGGAAACGCGTCATGATCGTGCTGAGCGAGAGCCTCCTGGACCGGGGCGCCCCCTACCGCGACCCGCTGGACATCCCGCGGGAGTACGTCCACAACTCCAGCACCCACCTGACCTTCAACAAGTTCTGGCGCCGCTACGGCAAGTTCTCCCGCCACCTCATGAAGATCAAGCTCAAGAAGTACACCAAGTTCCTGTTCGTGCGGGACCCCTTCGTGCGCCTCATCTCCGCCTTCCGCAGCAAGTTCCAGCTGGAGAACGAGGAGTTCTACCGCAAGTTCGCCGTGCCCATGCTCACCATGTACGCCAACCGCACCGGCCTGCCCTCCTCCGTCAGCGAGGCCTTCAGCGCGGGCCTCAAGGTGTCCTTCGCCAACTTCATCCAGTACCTGCTGGACCCGCGCACCGAGAAGCTGGCGCCCTTCAACGAGCACTGGAGGCAGGTGCACCGGCTCTGCCACCCCTGCCAGATCGACTACGACTTTGTGGGCAAGCTGGAGACGCTGGACCAGGACGCCGCCCAGCTGCTGCGGCTTCTCAAGGTGGACAAGCTCCTGCACTTCCCCCCGAGTTACCGGAACAGGACCGCCAGCAGCTGGGAGGAGGGCTGGTTCGCCCCCATCCCCTTGGCCTGGAGGCAGCAGCTGTACAAACTCTACGAGGCCGATTTCGTCCTGTTCGGCTACCCGAAGCCCGAAAACCTGCTCAGAGACTGAGGGCGGCGGGGACAGTCCCGAACGCCGGAACCAGCCGGGCTCACGTCATCTGCCGTCCCACGGCCGTCTTCCTGAGGGAGGATCCATGGGCTCCCGCGTGGATTTTTTCACGGCCCCGTTTCCCTGCCGGCCCGACACGGCAGGGTTCCCCAGCGCTCCCGTCAACGAGGAGGCTGGAGACCGTCCCCACACTCCAGTTTTTTAAATAACCTACGATTTTGCAATCTAGACGTACCGTTTACTCCACTGCCTATATTCGTTGAGTACTGTGTTAATATTGTTTTCTAAGATTAATATATTTGAGATATTTAATATGAAAAGTGCAGAAAGAAAGGATGGAGTAAATGTTACACCTGCTTCTTCCGCCTGCTTTCGTGGTTATTCTGGCAGAGCGTGAAACTCGGGTAGAGGAAGGGGATTTTCGTGGTCATCTTCCACAAAAAGCAGGACCCTGCACTTGACATCAGGCCTCCCTCGTGTTTATAAAAGGGTAGCAGACAGATCTCCTCAAGCGAGAGCGCCCTTGGCGTGTGATATTTCTGGAAAGGGAAGGCAGTCAGGAAGGGTGTTCTGTTTGCGACCACACTTCCCGGCCGCAGTCACGGAGCAGGGTGGTCACTCCAGCTGTTCCTGTGAGTGTATAAATCCTGGCCGTAAGGATTTGCTGTGACAGGGGTGCTGTGAGGAGTCTGTCCCGAGAATCGATTCCTGACGTCAGCAAGGTGAGGCTTGGGCGACAGATGCGGTGACCTTCCCCCTCGCGGGCGTGACTGACCCTGGGATCCTCTCGGCGGCCCCGACTTGGGAAAGGTGTCCTGTTGGCTAGTCCGGGAAGGCTCCTGGTTCAGATTTATTTGCAGTTTTGGCCACGACCCTGTAGTTGGTGAGAAATTTGCGGTCACTCTGTGGTGTGTGGGGCTCACGTTTGACCTTGCGTCCTTGATGTGTAGCATTTGGTCCCCGGGAGCCGGCAGTGCACTCAGGAGGCCTGCCCCCAGCCCTCCTTGGTGCGCAGTGTCCTTGCTGTTCCTGGTTTCCAGATGGCTCCGGGGGCTCGTCTGAGCACGTGGCCTCTGCGCGCTCACCTCCCAGACTCGGGGCTCCGCCGTGCGACAAGCCACCTGCTCCTCTTTTTATGATACGGTCAGCAGCAGAGATACTCGAACTTGGGAGTCCGGCTGTAGAGTAACTGAAGAGCCATCAGGCACCACGGTGGGGATCTCCTGGGACACCCGTTTGCTCAGTAGTCACCCGTGACACTGAGAGCGCTGGGCTTCAGGGTGGCTCTGCCTTCGGGGAGCCTTGTGATCCTGTGGTAGAGACGAGAGTGGGGACCCCCATCCCAGGCCAGTGGGCCGAGTGCCTTCAGGACAAGGCGTCTGGTGACGTGAAGGCGGGCTTCCTGAGGGAGGTGGTGGTTGAGCACGGCCTGAAGGGCAGGGCAGGCTAGGCGGCCGAGCAGTGACATCAGCAGAAGTGCAGGGCGTGTCCACAGACGGCAGGTACTAACTACTGTGACACATTTCTTGTGTCATTTCATGTCCTCTCGGAAGCCACCGCGCTCTTCCTGTCCTTTTCTCTAGTGAGGATGCTGTGTAGCAGAGACGAGGCAGGGCCGGGATCTGGAGCCCATGTGCCTGACCCCCTCCCCCCCCGCCCAGGGATGTGGACGGGTCATGGGCATAGAGTCTGGCGGCCTTGACTGTCAGGCCCAGTTGAGATTTCACTTAGGCAGCAACGAGCCGTGAAGGTTTCTGGGTGGAGGGATTTGGATGCTTTGGGGTCAGGTGGTGTCGGGCCGAGAGGGGAGGGCGCCGGGAGGCCGGTCAGCAGGCAGCGGGGGCCTCGCCCAGGGATGATGGGGTGACGGGGAGACAGGAGGCGCCCAGGTGACTCGAGGGAGGGTATTGGGAAGAGGCTCCTTCCGACGCCCCACGGGACGGGTGCCCCCCCCCGAGCCATCCTGCTGCTGATATTCCCACGTGTGACAGAGGGGCAAGCGGGAAGGAATCAGGAGAGCTTATCGAGGACCTTTCTTCTGACCTGGCAGCTTCCCCCCGCCACACACCGGTTTTTTAATCGTGGTCAAAGACACATACAGTTTATCATCTTAGCGGTTTTGTGTCCATTTCAGGGGCGGTAAGCACGTTCCCATTGTTGTGCAGCCATCGCTGCCATCCATCTGCGAGACGTTTTCATCTTCCCAGAGTGGGACCCCCAGCCCCGGCCCCACCGCCGGCCCCCTGCGTCTGTGTGCGGGACAACTCCAGCAACCTCACAGAGGTGGGGTCACACGTACTTGTGCTTTCGTACCCGGCTCGCGTCACTCAGCATCACGTCCTCGAGGTCCACGCGTGTGGTAGCAGGTGCCAGCGCGTCCCTCCTCGTTACGGCCCACGCCGTCCCACGGTGTGGATGTGCCACATCGTATTTATCCGTCACCCATCCGTGGACACGTGAGTCGCTCCCGCCTCCGAGCTGCTGCGAATGACGTTGCCACGAACATGGGTGTGCAAATGTCTGTTTGAGTCACTGTTTTCAGTTCTTCTGGGTAAATACCCAGAAGAGGGATTACTGAGTCACATCTGACCTGGCGGCTTTTTATAAACTGAGCCAGTGTGCAGACACCTGCAGGCTCCATCAGGACCGTTGTTTTGCAGATCATGTTTCCTGGTGTTGGAGGCAAGCTGGAAGATGTCCTGGGAAAACAAGCCAGCGTTTGGATGGTTTCAGATCTCCTTTACGTGTATGGAGTACGCTGTGGATTTCAGTCACGTGCTGTAATTTTGAATAATGGATATTCATCAAAACAAGCCACAGCGTTTAAATAACAACAGTTTGGGGCATCTGGGGGCTCAGTCGATCAAGTGTCCAACTCTTGACTTTGGCTCAGGTCATGATCTCGCAGTCCGCAGGTTCAAGCCCCACGTCCGGCTCTGTGCTGACAATGTGGAGCCTGCTTGGGATTCTTTCTCTCTCTCCCTCTGCCTTCCTCCTCTTGGGTCTGTCTGTCTCTCTCAAGATAAATAAACTTAAAAAATTTTTTTAAGTAAGTAACGTAACAGTTCTGAAATACCTCTTTAGCCGCCATCATCATGGCGCTTGGCATCTGCCTCTCTCGGTAGTTTCTCACTGAGATGTGTTTATTTCGAGAATGTTCAGACAACATGTCACAACTCACTGACTGGTGGGCTCATTACGGGCAGGGTCACATCTCCATTTCCTTGTTTTTGGTTCTGCCAAGAATAATCACCCTGTAGGTCTGTTTCTGTGGGTAGCGGGGGCATGTTTGCAGGGACATCGAGGCCCGGGGACCATTGGAGCAGATTGCAGCGACATCCATACACCCGTCCAGATTCCTGTGCGGCCCCTGGGGCCCGAGGGACGGTGACAGAGAAGGTCCCCCTCGGCCGTCCACCTCTGCCTTCCAGAGGCTGCAGTAAGAGGGGGCCCCCCTCGTCCTTTCGGGGGTGACTCTTACTCTTTCTGTTTCCCTGGCCCACAGAATAGCATCCTGTGAAGAAATTTGGCTCCATATTTTTTGTGCCCCCAGAATTTTTACATTGGGGCGCCTGGGTGGCTCAGTCGGTTCAGCATCCAACTCTTGATTTCGGCTCAGATCGTGACCTCACGGCTCGTGGGGGGGAGCCCCGTGTTGGACTCTGCTCTGGGTGTGGAGCCTGCTTGGGATTCTCTTTCTCTGCCTCTCTCCCCTGCTCACACGCTCCTGCCCTCTCTCTCTAAAAGAAGAAAAATAAAAAATTTTTATTGATACTGTTCAGATAGATAATTTAGCCAAACAATTCCATAAACCAGATTCAACTCTACTTACCTTTGACCTCTAACCGTTGCCAAAATATTTGCCTGCAGTCCTAATGACACCACAGTCTACGGTACAGAATCTTCTTGTGTGTTGGCACTGAGCGCCCAGCACGGCCACCAGGCCACTGTGCCTATTGACCGTCGGGGAGAGAGATGTGGGACAGACCCAACGCTGAGGCACGTGTGTGCGTATTTATGACAGAGAGAGACACTGTCAGCCCTCGTTCCTCTAAAAATGGTACGTGTTGCCATGCTTTGACGCAGAGGACCCACCTATGGCTTTTAATGTACCATAGGGGGTCTTATATTGCTTATTTTGCTATTAGCCATGTATTTGAAGGGTTTTCTATTAGAAGAATTTTAGGGGCACCTGGGTAACTCAGTTGAGTGTCCAACCCTTGGTCTCAGCTCACGTCTTGACCTCAGAGTTGAGTCCAGGCTCCACATTGGGCCCAACATTGGGCATGAAGCCTTCTTAAAAAAGAAGAATTTTAAGTTTGTTTTTTGGCAAGGGTCAGGATCTTGTTTCCTCTTCCTGGTGAGGCTGGTGTTCCTGTGCACCTGCACCCGTGGTTGGGTGAAGGTGGGGCTTTAACCTGGCTCGACCACTCGTGGGGAGCAGTTAGCAGAGCAGTCCCTGCGTCAGGGCAGACCCACCTCCCCGTGCAGGGTTGTCCCCGAGCCTGTCAGCAGGCGGCGTGTGGCTGGGAAGGGCAGGGAGGTATTCCCACCCCTGAGCTGTGCCAGGAGCCTGAGTGGGGGAGGCTGGGTGTGCTGGGGACCCAACAAGGCAGAAGCGTTGAGAAGCACGGCCGTCCTACCTGCCTGCCCAGCGAAGCTCAGTTTCAAAGCCCGCACGGAGTCCCCCGGGGTTTCAGGACTGGCGTCCGTGGTTTAGTGCAGCCAAGTCCCTGCACTCAGGTGTGGACGGTGACGGCTCCTGTTATGGTGCGTTCTGCCCAAGCATCTGTGCCTGGGGCAGGGCCCGCACACTGTGGGCGCACGGTACCTGTCTGTGGAGTGAGTGAGTGAATGAAGGGGTGGTGCCACGGAGCCTCATTCTGAACCAGCCAGGGTGGCTGCCATCACCCTCTCCAGCTGTTCGTAAGGTGATCACGGCTTGTGGAGGTTCTGTGACTGGCCCTGAGTGGGCGCAACACCTCACTGTTTCTGACTTCTGGCACTTTCTAAGCCTTGTGTTGTCTGTGCGGCTTGCACTGTTCCTGGGGAAGTTAGCTGACACCCTGTTTTGAGAGGATCGGTGTGTCTTTATTCCCTCCCCGTGTTCTCTCCTCCCCCTGAAAGATGCTATGGCTCCCCCTTACCTCCTGCCAGAGGGGGCGGGGCTGCTGCCAGAGGGGGCGGGACTACCGTACACGTGCTCATCTCCCACAGCCACCTGCAGAGGAGGCCTGCAGTCACGGAATGGCCGGGCCGCCCTCTCCCTCCCCAGGCCCTCGTCCCAAGAGGGC